TTTATTTATTTATTTATTTATTTGATTTCTATCCCGCCTATCTGGTCTTATTCGACCACTCTAGGCGGCTTACAATCCAACAACAATAAATTTTTAAAAACATTACAAGTGAACAAAGATAAAGATCAAAAGAATATAAGAAGAAAAAAGATCGTCAGGGATGTTACCATAGTCTCTCGAGACTGAAGGATGCCTACACAAATTATGGTTAGGCTGAAGGTACTTGCATAACCCAGAATATACCATGTCTTCAAATCTTCTATGTTTTTTCTTTATCTGTACATACCTGAAGGGTAAAAACTGTTTCTCATTGGAAATGTTTTCCATCTTTCTGGACAGGCCCTGCCCCTATCTATTTGCAGTGACTCTTGCCATCGTGGTTATCAGAAGAAGAAGAAGGAAGGAGATAAATTTTGCTGCTACGATTGTGACCTTTGCCCAGAGGGAAAGATTTCCAACAAATCAGGTTAGTGGCACACTTATTTTTATTTAGTTAGTTAGTTCAGGTTTTTTTTACCCCGCCTTAAAAAGACCCCAAGATGGGCTACATCATTAAAGGTTTTAAAGCTAAAAATGGTAAGTATACAAATACTAAAAAGAATCAAATGCCACACTAAGAAATGGTAAATTAAATCAATACAAAAAGTAACAGGGCACATCAATCTGCTTGAAAGCTCCACTCAGGCAGCCAATCACGAAGGGAAAGGCTTCCTGAAGAGAAAGGTCTTTGCCTACCTATGAAAGGACAACTAAGATGGGGCCAGCCTAGCTTCCAGTGGGAGGGAGTTCCAAAGTCTTGAAGCAGCCACAGAGAAGGCCCTCTCCCATGTCTCCACCAAATGCACCTGTGAAGGCCTCTTCTGAGGCTCTTAACATCCAAATAGGCTCATAAAGGGAGACAAGGGCCTTCAGATAGCTTGGATCCAGGCTGTATTTTTCCATCCAATTGAACAAATAGTTTAAAGAAACATTTTGTATTGGGAGAGTCAACAATATTCATGTAACTGTTACAACTGCTTTGTGGAGGTAAGTGGGAACCAACTTAGGCATGATCCTTGCTTTATCTTTGATATGTTCAGAAACTGAAAAATATCATTCTTTCAACCTAGATTCCCAATAACTTCTAAATCTAAAACACATCTCTAATTTCTATTATCCTGGCAATATAACAGTCAGATCCATCTAGATTGTACGAACAGTTGTAAAACATGGTTGTTGTGGGTTTTTTGGTCTCTTTTTCAGCCTCAGAAACTGAAAGGAGAATGTGTGAAGAAAAAACACTGCAAATGCCAACACGTCCAACAGAAATCAGCATCATGTTCATTTTTTTCCTTCATAAAAGACAAGAACTCATACATTATCAAGGCATGAGAAGAATATGGAGGAAACGGATAAGAGACTTATAAGCTTAGCACTTGAACATTCATTTTCACTTTAACATGTCACAACAAATGCTCTTCCTTTTAATTCCACTCAGTTCCTTACTCTCTCTTTAAGAGTTTGAACGTCTTCCACAGACTTCATCCAAGAGACACTTCCAAATTCATCCAGTCAGAAATTCGAGAGTGTTCCTTGTGTCAAACAGAATACTTTCACACAAGTCACATTCACACAAGTCACATAACTAAAAGATGGAATCAGAAGAAGCAGGGTCTCCCTCATTGAACTCTGTCTCAGAAATTATGGTTGACTCCTTCATGATTCTAATGGCATCAATTTCTTTTTCAGACACAGATGACTGCTTACAATGCCCAGAAGATCAATATCCAAACAGGGACAGAGATCAATGCATTCCTAAAGTTATCAAATTCCTCTCCTATGAAGAACCCTTAGGAAAAGCATTAGCTGGAGTGGCTCTTTCTTTTTCCCTGGTAACAGTCTTGGTACTTGGGTCTTTTATTAAACATCGAGACACTCCCATAGTCAAAGCCAACAACCGGGAGCTGACCTACACTCTCCTTGTCTCTCTGCTCCTCTGCTTCCTCTCTACTTTCCTCTTCCTTGGAAAACCTGGAAAACTGACCTGCCTTCTTCAGCAACCCGTTTTTGGCATGGTCTTCTCAGTGGCGGTTTCTTGTGTGTTGGCCAAAACCATCACCGTTGTCTTAGCTTTCTTGGCCACTAAGCCAGGCTCCCACCTGAGGAAATGGGTGGGGAAAAGAGTGGCCACTTCTGTTGTCCTTTCCTCTTCCCTCATTCAAGCTGGCATTTGTGTCATATGGGTTGGGACCTTTCCCCCATTCCCAGAGCTAGACCTCCACTCAGTCCCTGAAGTCATCATCATGCAATGCAGCACAGGGTCGGTCCTCATGTTTTATCTTGTGCTGGCCTACATGGCGCTTCTGTCCATTATCAGTTTCACAGTGGCTTTCCTGGCCAGGAAATTGCCAGACACTTTCAATGAAGCCAAATTCATCACCTTCAGCATGTTGATTTTTTGCAGTGTTTGGGTGTCTTTTGTTCCAACCTACTTGAGCACTAAAGGTACATATATGGTTGCTGTGGAGATCTTCTCTATATTAGCTTCCACTGGAGGGGTGTTTTGTTGTATCTTTCTTCCAAAATGTTACATGATGGTTTTCAAGCCTGAGATGAACAGCAGGGAACAGCTACTTAGGAGGAAGTATTAAGCCAGAAATTTGATGGAGTAAATTGGTTATTTGGGGGAGACATCTAATGAGATGAGGAAGAGAAAGGAATCCATCAGAATGGACACCTTAATGAAAGTTCATGCCATAAATACAGTGGTGCCTCGCATAGCGAGGTTAATCCGTTCCGGATTAACCTTCGCTATGCTGAAGCATCGCTGAACGGGGCAGCGATTTCCATTGGAACGCATTAAACATCGTTTAATGCGTTCCAAATAGGCCAAATACTCACCGTTCAGC